TTCAGCATGACAAATTTCATGACTAACAAAAGCTCATTCTCTCCCAGCAGGAGGATAATGTATGTAACCTATATGCACCTTGGCAGAACAGCAGCACTGATTGCTGCCATCCCCTCTCCCTGCCATCACGAGCTCTCTGATTTGCTTGAGTTAGGGAGTTCCACAGGCTATATATGCCCTTTAGCTGGGCTGTACGACTGCACAAACATGCAAGCATCCCTGGAAACTGCTCAGGGAACCCATTGCTGGGAGGCTCCTAGCAGACTATGCAGTAACGTGGGTGATCAGTGCAAGAGCAACAGATGGGCACGGTTCAGTGTGATGCTGTCTTAGTCTATGACATCATTCTGAGCCTCAAGGATGGCAGGTAGTGCCTTGGAACTCCCTTTCCTTAGAGCATGAAGTATGGCAAATTTAATTAAATGCAGTTAAATGTGGGTTTGTTGGGGTGGCATAGGAGTGATGTCAGGATGTCTCATCACTGGCTGTGATTGGTGAGCCTGAGGTAGCATTGGTGTGAGGTCCCCACTTTGCTTCATTTAGGCTGGGAATGCAGCGTCTCCTAGTGTAAGTGGCACATAATTGTGCAAGGCTCGTTTCTGCAGAACAGGTCAGGAGTGCTTGAGAAAAGAACAGGTAATTCTGTACATGGAGAAGAGCTGCTGAACTGCTCAGGTAGACAGAGAAGGCCAGAAAGGCAAAATCTGGAAGAGGTTGTTGTTTATGAATTGGTTTAAGTTAATAAATTCCAGGCCATTTGAGAGCTGCAGAAGTTTTGAGTCAGAGATGGACCAAAGACAAAGGGAATGTACTGGCAATAAATTGAGGCTGAAAATGAGAGTGTTTCTGGCTGTACAAATGTATACTGAGAGCAGAAAAGTGATGAGTGGGGAGCTGTCACTTGTCAGTGTGGCACTTGTGCAGTGGAAATGTTATTGCAGCACAGCCCTTCTGTAACAGGCTGAGTGTGAGCATCCAAAGCTAAGAGCAAATGTCACCTTTAGCTGCTGTGTTAAGCCAGACCTTGGAACTGTATTTTAGTTAGTGGAGATGCTGGGTCACAGCGAGGTTATCTGAACTGAGAGTGACTGTGGACCATGCACAGCATCTCTCCCTAAATCAGTGTTACTTCTGTTTATTGCATCTCTTCAAGCAGCTGGCTGCCTCATTGCTTTTAACATTACTTGCGAAGTGAGAAGGGAGCAGGGGGGTGGCAGCCTTGGTCATGAGTGACATCTCCTGGCTGATGAGGCCACGGGACAGTGTGGTTTTGGCTGGAGGAAATTTCCTATTTGTCTCGAGGCTCTGGGAGATGCTGGGGTCAATCCTGATCGCTTGCTGTCGCACAAAGCTGCCTCCCACACCATGAAGCTTTCCTGGGTTCCTCACCAAGAGCAGCGGGATTTTGTAGCAGAGCGACTGCCAGCTGAAGTGCCTGCCAGCATCACTCTCAGTTGATAGCTAACTCAGAGACAGAAATGATAGTAGATCTGTTTATGTTCTGGGCCCCACACCAATCACTCGGAGCCAGCAGCAGCCCCTACAAAACAACAAAGAGACCAAAATTAGAAACAGACAGAGATACATGAGCAGCTGGGCTGTGCTCCAACATCTGGAGAGCACTCCATGCTTGCGCAGCTGGGCAGGGTGCAGCAACCAGGCCCCCAGCTTGGGGAGAAAAGTAGCATAGCTGCTATGCCTGCTCATGGCCTTACATGATATTTTTTAACACCATTTACATAACAGGAGAAAGAACAGAGATGTCCTGGGCTCTGGCTGGAAACAAAGCTGGGAGGTCATGCTCAGTATTTAGCTGTGGAAAACTGCTGATGAAGAAGTGCTGATGCCTGGCAATCACAGAGGTGCTGGGCGTGAAGGACTGCCTTGCATAGTGGGGGCTGAGGAGTGTCAGCACAGCATGCAGAAACATGGACATGAAGTGCAGAGGAGCTGGAGGAGGCTAGGGAAAGCGTAGGTTCCGTAGGCATTGCAGGAGCTGCAGTTATGTCTAGAGTTGATAGAAATAACCAAGTGTATAGGAAAAGGAGCTTGTTCAAATACCTCAACTTCCTGAGCAAATTGCAGGTCAAATTTTAATTGCATTGAGTTCTTTATCTGGATTTTGCAATGTCTAAAAGAAATTGTGTTCAATCTATACTCTTCTAAAGTGCCATTTAGCAGGTCTTTGGTTTTGCTAGCTTACTCACTGAGTTATGCTTATCATTTGTACTTTGTATTTTGTTTCAACAAGTCTTTGGTAGCATAACAGTTCATGCAAATGGATGCTCTGGTATGGGATACAGCAATGAAATCGCTGTCTCAAGAGTCCTTGTCACAGTCCTGACAAGGGCCTGTGACACTGAGTTACAATTCAGGAGGTGAGAGTTGTGTTCAGGACTAAGAAAATAATATGCCTTGGAAAATAAATGACTCATCTGAGGCTGCAGGTGGGATGCAGAAAATTATGTCTTTGCCTGCAGGCAAGGGATTTCTCTAGGCCCATTTCATTAGGAAAATTGTTCCTAACCTGTTGCTGCTGAAAAGATGCAGTTGACAAAGAATATTCATCATGACAGGAAATCTGAATATCTTAGAATGATGCAAAGGCATGCCATCTTTCAGCTCTGTGACAGTAAGCACCCAACAAGGCTGTTAGTAGCTGCTTCTAGACAAGAGTAAAGATGGCAACTATTACGTGGGTTTTCTGTGCAGCTGTCAGCAGCAGTTCCAGTTTTCAACCATGCTTCACTGGAGCTGTTGGAGAGGGTCCAGAGGAGCGCCATGAAGATGATCAGAGGTCTGGAACACCTCCCCTACAGAGACAGGCTGAGGGATCTGGGCTTATTCAGCCTGGAGAAAAGAAGGCTGTGAGAAGACTTCATTGCACCCTTCCAGTATTTAAAGGGGATTATAAATGTGACAGGAATCAACTTTTAACAAGGATAGACAGTGATAGGACAAGGGGGAATGGTTTTAAGCTCAAAGGGAGAAGGTTCAGATGTCAGGAGGAAGTTCTTCACAGAGAAAGTGGTGAGACGCTGGAACAGGTTGCCTGAAGAGGTTGTGCGTGCTCCATCCCTGGAAGTGTTCAAGAGTGGGTTGGATGGGTCTCTGGGCAATCTGGTCTAGTACCAGATCTGGAGATTGGTGGTCTTGCCTGTGGCGGGGGGGGTGGAATTCGATGATCCTTGGGGTCCCTTTGAACCCAAGCCATTCTATGATTCATTTGTATCTATACTGTGCAGCTAGTTATATCACCTGCTTGTATTCATTTTTCTAGTGTTCATTTTTGTTCAATGGACATGTTCAGTACATTCATAACCTGAGCCAACTATCTCCATCAGGAGGAAAAGTCTCCCAGCTGTCACACTCTGCTGTTTTTAATCATTTCAAGCCTTGAGTTCTGGGGCCCTTTTGAAGAAAGCAATATAAAATGCATTCTGCCCTCCTACTGTCTGGTATGTGTACTAGACTGTTTTTTCTAAGCTACATTCTTGGAGATATTGGCAAGCATGCTGTGCCTCTAACAGACAGTCACAAAATGTGAGCATAACAAGCTTCCAAATTTTGCCGTTAGCATCAGCAGATTTACATGTAAGCACAGTGGGAGAGCACAAAGCTCCAGGTCAGCATTAGGCTCCCCAAGGACCTCCTTGTGGGGAGATTTTTGGAACAAGTTTTCTCAGAACTTTCAGATTCCATTCTCCTTAGATGGATGGAAAGCAACTATCTGTCTACAGATGCAGAGGTTCCAAGAACTCCCCCCATCTTTTTCAGAAGTTAGCCCAAATGAAGTCACTCCAGGATGTTGGGTCATTTGTAGGGCTGGACAACACTTGGTGTAGTTCTGGCATCTGGGACCAACTTTGATGTGAAACAGAGTGGTTAGAAGGTGGTTCTCTTCTGAGCATGAATGCTTCTTATATTTGCATTTGTGATGTGGGGTGCCTGGAAGGATTTGGAGAACTACTCCAGTACTGCCTAAAGGACTGGAGAATCAATAACTTCTGGAACTGAAGTTCTGCTGTACAGATGCAGAGCAAACATGGTTACTTTATCTTCTTGGAGAGTGAAGGTAGTTGATATCTCTGCCTGCATGGAGGTATTGTCACCCTGAATGACCCATAACAGACTTCTAAACATCTCTAGGAGAATTTGTGTACTAGGATAAGACAAATTAGCACCCTTGTGAGCAGTAAGGCAAGCAGTGCTTTTGACTATGGAATTTCAGTGTGGGTAGAAATAGATCTCATATAGTAGAAAGAACAGGTACTAGAGCGCCAATAGTTGAAACTATTCCATTTACAGCTAGATTGTAAGTCTACAAAATATTTTTGCAGATACCTTGTCTAGAGCTTTGTGTTGTGGATCGTATTTTATTAAACAATACTAAAGTGACTGAGCCTAAGCTGTGAACTGAAATTTCCATCATGGGAGATGGAAGGAGAAGCCAAAGTAGAAAAATACAATAGGCAACACTGTGCTGGCCATTAGTATATTCCGAAAACTCAAAAGCTATATTGGTTCTGAATTATTTCCACCAACCATAAGTAGCTTTTTAAAATAATTCTACTGCTGACAATGTATTTTAAACTACAAAAAAATTAATTTACTTTTTTTTTTTTAATATAGCATTGCCAAAGTTCAGGACAGCACTGCTTAAACTGTGATTCAGAAATGTTAGTGTTAGACTTTTTAAATGCATTACCAGTGACAAGGATGTTGTAAATTCTTTTTAATGTTGTAAGAACCTGGCACAAGGTATACAGTGACAGAGTGTGGCAGGGGTTAAAGCTCTTGGCTCTGCTAAGCTTTGTTGTTTTTAAATTAGCAGTCTGTTCTTTCAGCTTCTCAGTGGTTATTGAAACAAAGACAGAGCAATGGAAAAAGCTGGTGCTTGTCCCATGCAAACAGTATTTGGAACACGGGAACATGCCTGAAGACTTTTGGGGTGAGGTAAGTTGGGTTACAGGGATGCTAACATCCTTTTTCTGCTCTAGTCACAGGTAGCAAACCAAAGATGTCTACAACAAGGAAAATTCTACTCATACTCGGATTTCTCTCCACATTGGCTGCAATTGCTTTAATTGCTGTAGCAGTGACCCAAAACCAGCCACTTCCGAAGAACGTCAAGGTATTACAAGCTGAGGCTCTTATAGGAAAACAAGCCAAGCAGAGGTTTAGGCATGCATGGTGCTCAAGGACATGTTGCTGTCCCTGCTGGGTCAGTCTGATCTCCCTTTCAGGCTCCATGCATCTTAAGCAATCTGATCAAAACAGATATGCCTTCACAAGAGACCATCTCCTAAGTAATCATTTACAATCTTGCTACTGCTCTCATCCCCTTAAGTGAAAACTTAGAACAAAACACTGCATGGGGAGAGTAATGACGTGGCATGTCCCCACAGTTGCCAGATTTGCTGTTCATTTCTGCCCATGCTCATGCATATGCTCTATCCAACTCAGTGGCTCAGGTGTGATGACAGGATCTGTTCTGTCCACAGTACGGGATTGTGCTAGATGCGGGGTCGTCCCACACAAACCTGTATGTGTATGAGTGGCCAGCAGAGAAGGAGAATGACACTGGAGTGGTGCAGCAGGTGGAGGTGTGTAAAGTTGAAGGTAAGAGGAAAGAAGGAAGCAGTGAAAGGGGATGAATTGGAAAGAGAATGTGGCAAAAAGGTGGTGGAGATGAAATTTGGAGAACTGACCAATAGTGACAGCAGCATTAAATCTGTGAACTAACATATATTCCACTGCTTCCTGCTAAGAACTTGTTGCTTGAACTTCCAAAGAGAAAAGTTGGGTCCATTTTTCCTTTCATTTGGGGATGCACAGAGTTTAAATGCTTTGTGGAAAGAGCTACACTAAGGGTTGTACTTGACAACAACAAAATGCAATTTCTGTGTGTACCCTTGCCAAAGCACTGATAAACATCAGTGATAAAGGAGAACGCTCTGATCTCATTTTAAAGGAAAAAAGTGACAAGGTTACTAAACTTAAGCATGTTGTGTTTTTTTGGTTTTTTTTTTTTGTTTTGTTTTGTTTTTTAATATTTAATTGCTATGTAGATATGTAATGGTTTTGGAAGGCATAAAGGATGGTGTCAGTCACAGTTTTTGTCAGAGGAATGACTGATGGTTTAGGGTTTCTAAAACCTAGAAATGGGGTGGTTAAATCTGTTGCTGCTCGTGCTAGTGATATTGTTTAGTGGACAAGGCTCATGACAGCCCTCACAGGTTGGAGATGGTGCAATGAAGTCTTCCAATTTCTTGCAGGCCCAGGGATCTCAGGTTATTCCCAGGCTACTGAGAAGGCAGGTCCCTCTCTGGTGCAGTGCCTCCGACAAGCAGAAGAGGTGATTCCCTCAAAGCAGCATCGAGAGACACCTGTCTACCTCGGAGCAACTGCTGGCATGCGGCTCCTCAGGTACCGCAGTGTTCATCTTCTTCCCTTGCACCTTAGAGCACCATAGATACCAAGCGGTGTCTCTGCAGTGAAGTCATTGGAAATGCTACAAGTTGGTGCTGTGCCCAGATTTCCATCTCTCTGGACCTCTAGTCTCCCCAGACTCTTCCCCACTTGCCTGGCAGGTCTGTTTCCACCTGCTCCCCTCTTCCATTTTCTCCAGCACCACAGACACTATAAAGCATAGCCATGCCCAAACTGCTACTTGGAGAAGTTGTTCAAACATCTCTCACAGTCTAGTAATAGATTTCACCCACAGTTTTTGTGCCCTGTCATGTTTTAACTCCCTGCATACCTCGACTTGGCCTGAAATCACCAAAACTAAGGTAACTTTATACAGTTCAAATTTATGATTTTTCTTGGGGTGACTCAGACCTGTTACCTGGCTGGATCAGGGAGCTAATTTCATGTGTTTTGTCTAGGGAAAATCCCTGGGATATCATAAGACATGGTCTCTTATGAAATGGTGAAAAGTGAAAAGGATCTCCCCAGGGTGATCCTTGCCAGGGAATGTTCTTTAGGAGAGCAGGGGGGCTATGCTCCAATTCCTGCTGCCAACTGCAGTGTCTGTGTCCGGGCTGGTAGCAGCTGTGCTGTCAAGGCGTGATCGAGAGACACAGCCAGTTACAGCTGGATGTATCCATGTGAAGGACTGTCATGTTATGACTGACGGTTGGTGGGGGGTTGCAGCCTATCTGCTCAGAGTGAAGCCCATAAGCTGCTGAGGGCTGTCAGCTGCAGTCACTCCATCCTTTCTTCCATTCATTCAGGTTGGAAAATAAAGATGCAGCTGACAAAGTCTTGTCCTCAGTCGAGAAGACACTACGCTCAGCTCCCTTCAATTTCCAGGGCGCCAGAATCATCAGTGGTCAGGAAGAAGGAGCCTATGGATGGATCACCATTAACTACTTGCTTGGTAATTTCAAGCAGGTACTGTATCACTGGCAAGTCCAGATTTGAACCACTGGCTGGCAGTGCTGTATGAATCATGCCGTTCATGAGGGTGTTTCAGGAGGCTCCCTGTGAGACATTTATCACAGATCGGGATGCTGTGCTTCTTGCATCAGCAATTACTGTAGGTAGTCTTAGAGCACTGAAATAAAACAACAGTTTCAATAACTTCTCACAGGTACAGCATCCTCCTCACTTACTGATCTAAAATACTTCTGTGCTTGGTTAAATATCTGCAAAGTGTCACTAGTACTTGAAGGGAGCATATAAAAAGGAAGGGGAACAGATGTTTACGAGGGTGGGTAGTGATAGGACAAGGGGGAATGGTTTTAAACTGAGACAGGGGAGGTTTAGGTTAGATATTAGGAGGACGTTTTTCACACAGAGTGGTGGCGCACTGGAACAGGTTGTCCAAGGAGGTTGTGGATGCCCCATCCCTGGAGGCATTCAAGGCCAAGCTGGATGTGGCTCTGGGCAGCCTGGTCTGGTGGTTGGCGACCCTGCACATGGCAGGGGGGTTGAAACCAGATGATCATTGTTGTCATTTTCAACCCAGGCTAAAAGAAAAAGAAAAAAAAAACTTTTCAGTATTTGATGATGATTCTTTACTATCAGGTTTATAAGTCATCTGGGCACTGAAACAGTAAATTGATTTTTCATATAGCAGTTGTTTTTGTTACATGTTCTTCAACCTCTTGCAAACACTTGGATGTGATCCATCTTGTGCTCTTCTGAGCCTGTACCTTGTTCTGGTTCTTATCTCGTGCCCCCCTTGAAGCCGTACTCCCTTTCCTGCATTCTGTCCTTCCGCTACTATTCTACGAAGACTTTTTGTTCCTGAGTACATTTTCTCCATGCCTGATGTATCTGTGCTTTGAATTTTTTTCAAGTCTGGCTGGAAAAAATTTCTACATTCCCTGAAATCCATAAGTGAGACATCAGGAGCATTAGACCTTGGAGGAGCCTCAACACAGATTACCTTTGTACCAGCTGAAATCTCTTCTGAGTCCCCACAGAATTTGCTGTATTTCCGCCTCTATGGCAAGGACTACCAAGTGTACACACACAGCTTCCTTTGCTATGGAAAGGACCAGGCTCTGCAACAGAAACTGGCCAGGGACCTACAGGCAAGTACATCTGGGGTGGCACGCGGAGGTCCTGGACTCTCACAGCTTTGACGTACTGGTGCTGCTGTGTCCTGGCTAAATGTCGCATCACTTAGCCTGGATTTGGAAAGTGGTGTTATCCTCCATAAAGTTTGGTTAGATGCTCACAGATGACAGCCAACATTTTCAAAGATATTACTAATTAGAGATGCCTTGACTGATTGGCATGGGATAGCAGCAATACTGTGCTTGTCCGAAAAAGATGGTGGAGATGGTGCTTCACCATCTGAGAAAATCCCAAATCAACAGCAGCTTCAGAAAATATGGCTGGAACTTGCCCAAGGTCTGAAAGGGAGAATGCAACAGAGCAAGCAGCAGTAGCCACATGTCCCAAATTACGGCTAAAGCCTTAAGTCTGTCCTCACCTTTGACCCAGTGTTTGTGTGTCTTGGCATGATGTATCATGACAAGTGCCTTGTGGTCACCCTTTCTTGTGGTTTTTTCCCAGTGTGTTATTCTAGAGTGAAATATAACAGCTTTTGTGAATCTTATTTTCAGAGCACAGAGAACGGCAGCCTCTTTGATCCATGCTTTCACCAAGGATATCAGAGAACTATAAGTATCAATAATTTCTTCAAAAACCCTTGTACGTCAGTCGAGAAAAAACAATTCCCTTTCAGCCAGCTGCATATTGAAGGAGAGGGGAATTATGAAAAATGCCGAAGAAATATCCAGAATCTCTTTAACAAAACCAACTGTCCTTACTCCAGCTGCTCCTTCAATGGGATATATCTACCTCCATTACAGGGGGACTTTGGGGTAGGTTTGCATTCTTCAACTCCCTATAATTCAGACCATCAGAAGAAGAGAAACTCAGAACAATGCTGGAGCGTATTATCCATGGATGGGGCAGAAATTCATTTCCAAGATAACTTTTTAGACATGAAACTACAGAAATAGTCTTTGTTGTCTGGCTGTGAAGACAACAAATATAAGAGCTACTATAGTAGATACCGGCCTACGAGGCAGTGGTACTTCATTTACAGATTCATTTTTAAAGCTGTCCCTCCCAGTGGCCAGCACCAGGGACAGGAGAGCTTGTCACAGGCCAGTGTGATTCATGCACAACTGTGTGAGCATTACTGAAGCCAGCCGGCTCACCTGACTGTTTCTTTTGTTTCTCTAAATAAAGCTGTCTTGTGGGATTACTGTTGTCCTACTCAGGTTAAAATATTCTCTTTCAGGCCTTTTCTGCTTTCTACTTTGTGATGAACTTTTTGAACCTGACAAATGATGTCCCCTTCACCCTGGACGAAGTGACCAGTGCTATTGAGAAACTCTGTGCCCGGCCTTGGCATGAGGTGAGCAGAGCTGCTTCTCTGCATTGGGGCAGACTGCCCAAGTCCCAAGTGTTGCTAATGCTTCCTAATAGGATGCGTGGTTGGGGGTAATTTCCAAGGCAGGCACAGGAAGATTTCCCACAGCACCTGTAGTGAATGTTCAAGTGCAAGCTGGAGCTGCAGGAACACAGGTTTAGCAGCCTGGTGACTTCTCCCTCTTTTCCTAGGTGAAGCTACAGTATCATCAAATAAAAGAAAAGTACCTGAGCGAATACTGCTTCTCCGGAGCCTACATCCTCTCTCTACTGGAAAATGGCTATGGATTCACTACAGAGAACTGGCAAAGGATCCACTTCCTTGGAAAGGTATGTTGATTGCCACCTCTGCTATACAGCTTTGCCCATCTTCCACAGGGATGATACTGCCCTGGCACCTTCCATCTCTGATTCTGCTCCTCTCCATTTCAGATTGGCAGCAGCGATGCAGGCTGGACACTGGGCTACATGCTGAACCTGACCAACATGATCCCTGCGGAGGAGCCTCCTGCACCTCCTCTTTCCTACAGCAGCTATGTGGGGCTGATGGTTCTGTGCTCCCTTGTGCTGGTATCAGTGATCCTGCTTGCTTTGCTTCTCTTCCACAAGCCCAAGTGCCTGCAGAAAGGGATCGTCTAGGAAGACTATGGAGGGAGAGGCGCCCCAGCTGCTCAGGGCTAGGAGCCCACTGAAGACCAGGCTGTAGTGCAGAGTCCCTCTCTCTGAAGCTACTGACTGTGTACAACAAGGGCATTTGTCTCTTTTAAGTTTCACTTGCACTGACAGATGTTGGGACATCAGGCTCGCCACCTCTATACCACGGACAGACAAGCGAGTGTTCTCTTCTTGAATGGGTCGTATTTTCATTCACTGAAACTCTGCTGCTTGTTTTTTTTATTGCCTTGTGCATAGCGTTATAAAGAGAAAAGCAGCACCAATCTTTGGGAGCCAGTGCTCCTGCAAGAGTAATCTCAGGGTCCCACATGCCACTGAGCTCTTGGGAGTGATCACACTGGGTGATCCAGCTCTTCCTCTGCTGAAGCTGTTCCCAAGAGCCATTCCAGCAGGGAAACTGCACCAGCACACCTCTGCTTGCCAGGCGTGGTCACTTGTAGCCAGCTAGCCCTCAAAGGCTGGTCATGCTCCCAAATGTCACTCTAGGACAAGAAGGGATGGGAATGAAGAAACTGAGCATGCTGGTGGTTATCAGTCCTTAGCTGGGCTCTGGCAGCAGTCTGCTCCTTTCACAGGTGGCAAGAAGCCTCTTTCCCCACGTCTTCCTGATGTTTTTGCTGGACCAAAGCTGGCTCACTCTTACACTGAGCCATTCCCATGTCCCTAGGTTGACTGTGCATCAAGACATGAGTTCCCAGCCAGACATTGCTGATTATTATAGGAAACGCCATCATCCTAGCCAAGGATTCTTGACAAGTAGTGAGCACATATATCTACAGGAACTCTGATCTGATCAGCGTGCCTCCAAGTATACATCCATTAAAACAATCCACTGTCACTGTGCTGATCATACAGCAGTCTCTGATCTAGGGAAAATGTTTTTTGGGCCATTTCCCTTTATAAAAAGACAGCTGGTAAGAGCCAGCATGAGGGCACACACAGCCTCTCTTTCCATCAGCGAAAGCATGGAAAATTTGCCTTTCCCTCGTGGCTTAGGCTACTCCCCAAACAGTAACACCTAGGTGCTGTAAGTGCACTTACCACAGCCCATCTTCTAGCGCACAACTAGATGGTGCCACTGATCAGGTTTATGAATCACTTTCTTCTGTTACCTATTCCGTAGTCCAAAACAGAGAGGTAAGTCAGCAATCAATTTTTATGGCAATTGGAAACCACTGATACCTATTTGCTTGGGAGGTAATCTAAGAAATCTCTTCTCCTAATGAAACACGTGTGCTGGAGGCCAAAAGAAAGCAGATACTGTGGAGAGAAAGGCATGGCATGGTCATCTTCACCTGTTTCCCTGAGCAAAGTTGCAGGAAAAGCAGGAGATGCAACAGGGATGAAGCTTTCTCCCTTGGGCAAACACAGATGCAGAGCTCAGGGCTTTTGTGCTTTCCCAGCTTGTTCTTCCACATAGTACAGGCTGAAAAATGTCCTCTACTTGTTTGTAGTTCATGCCTGGAGTAGGAGCCATGACATACTGAAGGTAAAGGGGAAAATATACCCTCTCCTATGGTAAGATGTTAGGGCATTTTTTCCAAAAATGTCTTTTGCTCTGAATTAGCTGGCCTTAGCTTCTGATGGACCTTGATCCACCAGTTCCAAAACGACTAACTCTTTGCTATCAAAATCCCTTCTATTCTTGTTGGTGCTTGGAAGTCAGCATTGTATCATATTAAATATTGACCTTCATTCTGTAAAGTGCTTTGTCTTGACTCACGTGTAGCTCTTGAGTCAACTTCCATGCAATTTTGTACATCTGAAGTTTGGATGCCAAAGGTTTCAGCAGCAAGTGGTAGTAGATGCCCTAACACTGTACATAAAAGTAATAGCCCTTGTTCTCTTGATCTGTACTCTTTTTCCTATTCATATATCTCAGGGTCAGATCTGTTCACTCAAGGTTTCATAAGGAGCTGTTTTGTTCAGTTTAGCTCTTGCAAGTTGGCCTTATTTTCCTACCATGGCAATCCAGAATGGCTGCTGTCTCGTGGTGTGCATCAGTCTTTTGTCATGAGATGTTTTGCCTTCTGCCTGGCTCTGCTGAAACACATACTGTTCTAAGAACATTTCTCTAAGTGACCAAGGTCAACCCACAAATGACATTTCCCCACACTGTTTGTTCTTTTTCCAGTTTGTTTGATCTGCAAACACAGAGATGTGGGAATTCATATAGATGTGGAGCCTTCTTTCTGTCATTTTCTCCAAGGACATGTATATAGGATGAGATTTAACAATAATCTTTGGTCAGGGTAGGAAGGTAGAAGAGCTCATCATGGAGCAGGCAGCTGCCAGTGCTGCTTAGCTTTGTCTGGCAGATCTATCAGGAAGTTTCTGAAACAGATGCAGAAAATCCACGTGGAAACTGGCATGGAGAGAGCCTGTGCCAGTCTGCTGTTCTGGTCCCTGCTAAGGGTTTATGCCAGAGGAAAGGAGCTGAAGTACAGAACCTGTGAGAAAAGCTTCAGCAGTGCTTTGTATCTTTACTTGCAGGTACCACAGTATTACCATTGTAAGCCTTTGCTTCTGGAGTTAGCTGATTGCCTGGTATCATGGCTTTCTCCTTCTGTTCTGTTCACAAAGCAGCGACAAATCAAAAGGTAAAAGGCCCCAAAGGAGATAAATGCAATATATTAATAATGTTATTTTTAAAAGTTAATGACTTCTGGAACACATTTATGAGACAATCCTCAGAACTAGTATTTCTAAGGGGATACCAGCTGTGCCATTTAAACCACCAAGCAAGCTGAGGCTCCAGGAATAGGTTGGCCAAGAGCATCCTACTGTGGCGAGACCCGTATCACTCACTGGCTGTGCTTGAGCCTTCCCAGCAAAAGGTATGGTTCTTCTCAACAACCTCCTCTGCCATTGCAGGGTTCTGTCTGTGGAAGCTGCCCAAAACCCTGGGTCAGTTATGAGATTTAATGAATGTTAATTTCCTTGCTTCTGTGCTGTGTCTGACCCAGCAGTGTATGGCTCAAGCGTATGTTCCAGAGTCACTCAAGGACTTCACCCACCATGAATACTATGAAAGGTAGTGGGGGGAATTTCCAAATATGTCCGGTGTTAGTAATGTCATATCATTTCTTTTGTTAATACAGTTGATCTGCCTCTCTGATAAATATCTGTGCCTTATTTCTGATTTGCTAGAGTCTGGCTTTAATTTCCAGCTCCTAGCTCCTGTTCAGTTTTGCTCTTCTGGGTTAAAACATATTTTAACACCACATGTTCTTGTCTTGAATATATTTATATGCTATTCAGCTCCACTGGGCTGTCCAGACCCCTGGTCTCTCCTGTCCCTGTGTTTTATCACCAGGAGCCGTGAGAGGTGCGGCAGGGTGAGTGGCATGGCACAGGGGTTGAGCATGGCACTAGGATGTTGAGCAGTACTGTTTGGGAAGGTTCCTTGCAGATGACTTGCTCATTTGGCTGAGCACAGGAGCAGTCTGACTCCTCTGGGACTGATGACTTCCACATCCACAAGCTCTCTCCCATTCACCTCAGGGTTGGGTCAGAGGCAAAACTGTCAGTGACATTCTAGGGGAGAGAAGAGAAAGCTGTTGTGTGGATGCAGCTTTCCCACCCCTCTTGCAGAGAGCAGCCCACTCCGCAGCAGACCTTAAGAAGTACCCTTCATTCCTCACCCAGTACAGCCAGCCCTCCCCTCTGCATGGGCTGAGAACAGCAGTTCTGTGCCCTGCCACTCGGCTGTGAAATTCATGTGGCTTCACCCTGGTGAAATGGGTCTCAGTTTATTCTGATACACGCACCGATCTCTGTATCCTTATCACAATAAAGACTTCTTAACCCATGCCAGTGATGCTCTCGGACTGCTTTCCAGAAGATGGGAACGACCCAGGGGTAGGATGAAGCTTTTGGCATAGAAGATGGAAAAGTCTTGAGGTGAGGTTTCCTCTGCTGACAGCTGCTCACTGCTCTTCTGGGTCAGATCTGGAGCTCCTGGTGGCTGGAGGGGCAGCATTCCCTCCCGGCATAGCAATGCACTGTGTCCTTTCCTATCTCCTGGTGCCTGGAAGGCACCTAGTGCCAAAATCTCGTCTTTTCTTGGCTTCATTTTATCCTGACCTCTCCAAAGCAGTTTGTCCCCCTTCCCCCCGCCACACTGCAGGCCTGCATTCTTCTGTCCTTGCCATCCTTCTCTCTCACCCCAGCGCCACTGGCACAGTGCCTTCATGATCATCCCTGCAAAACAGGTGAAGGATGCAAGGCTGTACCTCTTGCTTCAGGGCCGCAGCTCTGCACGCAGCTGCAGCCCAGCCAAGGTAAACATGCTTGTCACCACTCATTTTTCTTTCAGTGTGCACCCTCCCCAGTTTGTTCATGCAGCTCTTATCTTGAATTTTCCTCACATTTTCCAGCCTTTCTCTGGTAAAAAGATGGCCAGAATGAAATCTCAGGCACCACAAGGGATCTGTCCAAGGCCAGGATCCTGTCACCTGCATGAGCAGAGGAGCAGTGGGGTTAAGGGCTGGAATGTAGGAATTGCATTCATCTCCACTTCTCTGCTGTGGCACAACACATTCCTGCTCGTGCTCCCCCTTCTGCTTCAAAGTTGCTGTGTCTTTGAACATCTGGGGAGAGGGGATGATTTGTCCCAGATGTATTTGCTGCATTTTCCAAATGATGTCTTTGTTTACTTCCTGTGTTGTTTCTATGTTCTATGTTGTTTGTTTCTGCTTCTATCAGTGTTTTAATGTGTTGGATGTGTGATGAAATGCCTGCATCTGGCCCTGTGTAGTTATCCGAGCTGTGGATGCCCGTGGATGTTCCCTGTGATTTCATCCTATTCCCTTTTGCTCTCATTAAACTCTCAGCTTTGATGAGGTAATTTCATTGTGCATTGTGTGCAGAGCTATTTCCTTTTGTTTGATTCAAACCTGCTGCCTGGTGGTGGGCTGCCTCCACGCCTGTGTTATGGATAATGCTGACTAATTCTCCAGACCCATCATGCATGAGATGTGTTCTCCGCCCACCCCAAATCTTGCTCACAGCTCTTTTTTAGGATCCAGCATTCTGCCATTTCTTTTTCTTGTTCCCCACGTCAGTGTCATCCATCTTCATAGGAAAGTGTGCACTGTTCCATGTGTCCCCTGGCAGCACCCTTCTATCTCAGCCTGCCCTGCCCCACCAAATCCTGCTTACAGTTGCCCCACAAGTCTCTGCTGCTTCTCCTTGGCTATCAGTACAGGGAAGAGCTGGCAACCCCAGGGCCATTTTGCATTAGCTAACAAAAGACGTTGTGATGCTGATCCTATGCTTAAATGTGAGTTGCTCTGAAGCTGAATGGCAAACAGGGAAGTGGTGGAATGGAGCTAAGCTGGAAGAAGGCATTAGTATGATAACTACTATCTTTGCAGCCTGCACTGCTTGCATTGAAGCTATGAGCAGGGATGCCTTGTTATTATCACAGAGCAGCAAAGCTGCTGTTTTGAGTGTTTTAGCAACACTGCGTCCATCCATGGGCAGAGCAGCATAGATGACTGCACACCCTTGGGCAAGAACGTCTCTGGCAGAGAAGTGAAGGGGAATTGGCTTCCTCTAAATCCAGAATCGCTCTGCAACTGTTCATAGCCAGACCTTTTCAGTTGCCTTTAAGCTTTGGGGCTCTCTTCTGCCCGGTGCATGTCGGAGGGCACCGTCGTGTCCCCTCCTCGCATGGCAGAGCTCTGTGCTGCAGCATCGCACCTCGCGCTGCTCTCTGACTGCTGCTCGGGCAGAAAGGCGCGAGAGTGCGACCTTGCTCCTGTCCTTGTCCTCATCCCCGGCCCCAGCCGTGCCGCGGGCGTGCGGGGCTAGCCGGAGCCGTGCCGACGCGGTGCCACCGCCTCTTCCCCAGGAGATGGGGCAGGAGAGCAGCGCTGTTCGGAATGGGGCCGGGGGAACCGCCCGCGCCGTGAAGCCCCCGCCTCGCTCGGCTCTGCCCCCGCGCAGGGGCTCGGTCACGGCACGTCCCTGCCGTGGGGGCCCCGCTCCCTCCCGGCGAAGCGGGCTCGCGGAGCCCCCGCTCCTCTCCGCCCGCTTCCAGCGCTGCGCTGCCGCCTCCCGGGGCGCGGGGTCCTGTTTGCCGTCCGGTTAATGAGTGAGCAGCACTCTGGACGCTTCCCCGACGGCGGAGAGCGGGCAGTCAGCCGGCGGCCGGGAGAAGCATCCCTGCCCCCGCTCCCGCCGCCCCCCGTCCGCAGGTGCAGGGGGCTGGCACTTGGCGGGGGAACTGGAAAGAGCTGGTTCCAGTTTGCACTTTAGCTCCGGGCGGGGAGGAGGGAGCCGGGGGCCGATGGCGGGGTGGCTGCGGCCGCTGGCCGGGACCCTGCTCCTGCTCGAGGTAGCGGCTGCCGTCAGCTTCCTGCACCACCGCTACGAGGAGATGGTGCGGGCTCTGTTTCGCGTGCAGAGCGAGTGTCCGTACGTCACCCGCATCTACAGCATCGGACGCAGCGTCGAGGGCCGCCACCTCTACGTGCTGGAGTTCAGCGACTACCCCGGCATCCACGAACCCCGTAAGTACGGTGAGGCGGCGACCGGGACGGGGCGGCCCCGACAGCGCTACCGCTGCCACGCGGCACCAGGGGGCACGGCCAAGAGCCGCCTCTCTGCCCGGGTGGGACTCCCGGTGCCGGAGCTCTGCCTTTGGGCACGCGGCCCCGGCGCGTACTTTGGCCGCAGCTCTGTTTATAAGTGCAGGATGACGCAGGAGAGCTCGTCCCAGCACCCACCTGCCCCGCCGCCCCGTTCTGCCCCAAAACCAGGCAGACGTGGGAGGGAGGAGTGCAATCCTTCCTTGTCCAGGCTGCACGGGGTGGTGCTGGGCCCCCGCAGATATCCAGACCCGCCACCCGGTGCCGAGTGGCCCCGCTGCACCTTGGCAGCAGCACACAGAGATTGGGGCAAGATTCTGCCTGCCTCCTGCAATATGTTTTGTCTTCTCAAACCTTTGCTTGCTCATCAAAGCAGGGGCTCATACATCCAGGCTGCGTGGTCCCTTTGCCAGAGTTCTGATAACGCTCTGCCAGGCTTTGCTTTGGCAGAGCCACAGGATTGCAGCTGGGAGGGTTGCGGGAGGGCACCGGGCAGAGATTCATCTCGACCTGCGCCTAGTTCTCCAAGCAGCATGGACTTGTGGCCCTGCTTCTGGGTACTTCCACATGTATGGTGTCTTTCAGACTCTGCAGGCTTCTTTGAAGTCCGTGGAAAGTAACTGTGAAAAGGAAAACTTTAAGTCAGTTGGCTTTTATGCAGTAATTCAGGCTTCTGTGTCTGTGTGGATAATGTTTAGGGGTCTGTGTATCAGTATAGGCTGACAAGTCCTGCTTCAGACTCAAGGCATGTGAGGAGTCCCTGCTGAGACCTTTTTTTAAATGAAGGCAGCACATAACCCCAAGATGTTTTTATAGATTTAATAACTGGATTACCTAATTAAGTCAGTTCTCAAGTCTCCTGAAACCTAACCAGGTCAACACATATTGCCCACCCGCAATGTCCTTCGCTGAGGCATGGCAATCCAAAGGTCACTGGCAACAAATATGGAAAAGCAACATCTTGTGCCAAAACTAGGATTGTTTTAGCATCTGTCTTCAGCATGTCCGGATGCACTGAGATTTCTGAAAGTACTGCTGTGTTCTGAAAGCACTGTTGGGTTCTGGAAGCATAGTTGGGTTCTGAAGGCATTGTAGGGGTCTGGAGTCATGGTTGGGTTCTGAAGGCATGGTTGGATTTCGGAGGCATCATCAGGGTCTGGAGGTGTGGTTGGGTTCTGAAGGCATGATTGGGTATTGGAGGCATCATCAGGGTCTGGAGGCATGGTTGGGTTTTGGAGGCATTATTGTGCTCTGGAGCAGAGTTGGGTTCTGGCAGTGTGGTTGGGTTTTGGAGGCATTGTTAGGTTTTGGCAGTGTGGTTGGGTTGGGAAGATGTAGAGTTCTCTAAGCATGTCTGGGTTCTGGAAGCACTGTTAGGGTCTGGAAGCAGGAGGCACCCAGTGAGCAGGTGACTTTTTTTCTCACATTGTCACAGACCCCAGAAATCGCTGCTGAAACCTCAGCGCAACAAGATCCCTGAGCTCTGCCTGCCAATGCCTGTTCTGTCTGTACCTTTCATGTGAAAGTTGGGCTTCTTTTTTAAGTGAATTCTTCCAGTATCTCTCACTCTGCCAACACTGGTTGCATGCCCACTGCAGAGGCAAGCAGCAGCCCAGTGGCGAACCTGGGCTATGGCAAAACAGAGAGCAGCCCACATGAGGACCATTCAGCCATCCCTCACTAAATTCTGCATTTTCCAAGTGAAGAGGCCATCTTATGCCATTCACAGGGGGACCCCTGGGCTCCCTGCAGCGTGAATGGGCTCTCCAGCCCCAGCTGATGGTGCTACTGCTGTGTTGCTCTCTCCAGTGGAGCCGGAATTCAAGTACGTGGGGAACATGCACGGGAATGAGGTGCTGGGCCGTGAACTGCTGCTGCAGCTCTCAGAGTTCCTATGTGAGGAGTACCGGCGGGGCAGTGAGCGGATCATCCAACTGCTGCACGACACGCGCATCCACATCATGCCTTCCATGAACCCCGATGGGTACGAAGTGGCTGCCAACCAGGTACCAGGCAAGCGAGCGCTGCTTCCAGATGGTAGGGGCAGAAAAACCCTACGAAATGGGGGGCTTCTGCAGGTCTGCTTCGCTGTGGCAGTGCTGCCCCACTCTATTCTCACCCCTACAATGCCCTTTGCCCCACAGGGCCCAGATGGCATTGGGTACTTGACGGGGAGAAACAATGCCAATGGGGTGGACTTGAACCGCAACTTCCC